TTCAAGTTCAGTTCAATTTTGAACTGAACTTGAACTTGGCCAAAAGTTTAGTTCAGTTCAGTTCATAGGAACACTACATTATGCATCTGTACTATTTTAGTATAAGAAAGAATTTGCAGTTAGGTTTCGTGATGTTTCAATACTTATTTTTCTTGATGACAAATATTAATATAAAATTGAAAAGCTCAGGTATTCAGTGGTGGTAGTAGAAAGAGGTAAACAAATTATTGTTAGAAAAAATACAACCTTTGCAGTTAGTAATCATGATTTTATCAAAACTGGAATGGTTCCAAGCGTGACAATGCTATGTAATATTCTGAAAACAATTGATGGTGATTTCTACTCGGGTAAAGTAAATATCTGCTTAAAGGATCCAATATTCCAACCTTCCTCCTCTTTATGACATATAACAGAACTTTTTAATATTCTTTGGATACAAGAAACAAGCAAACCCGTATTCTGTCTATACACTGATGGGAGGTCCGATCATAGATATATATTTGTTAGAGTTCAATTGTCATATATCTGTTTGTTTTTAGAGCATGATCTTGATTATCTTGTTGTAGTTAAAACACTACCATATCACTTACAGAAAATCCTGTTGAATGTATCATGTTAGTACTAAATCTAGGATTGCAAAGTATAGGGCTAATACGTAATAAAATGGAAGATAATTATGAAATACTTCTTAGTAAGGTAAATACAATGAAAGAAATTAGAGAAATTGCAGAATTAAACTCTACATTCAAAAATAAACTCATCGAAAGTATTCAAAAACCTATTCATCTTGTTCATAAGATATTTGAAAAGCAGTGTTTGAAAGATGATTTATTTGAAACATTTAATGCTATATTAGATGAGGAAATAGAAATATTTTGGAAAATAATTTGTCAAATTGATGAGACTATAACCCATGATGATAATACTATAGAGCTTATAAAACAAAGAGTAAGTGAATATAAAATTATTAAAATTAAAAAAAAAAAAAAAAAAACTACTAAATGGTTTGATTTTTTTGCTTTTTAAAGCAACACTTAAAAAACTTTTATGATCATTGTTGTACAATCTGTCATTATTTTTTTATGATAAAAAAATGCGGAAAGGATACTTGTACAATCTGCAAACCACCATGTTATTTACTTGAGATATTTAATCAACTCTATTGTATTCTTAATCCAATTCTAGAAAATAATTTTCACTATAAATCTTTTGAGAAGTTATATAGCACTATAACAACTGAAAAGTATAGACCTTTATATCAAGAAAAAATGCTTCAATCACAATCTAAAAAAATAAAACAAAGAAACAAATCAAAGCATACAATACTATTTTGCCCTTCTGCATTAGTACTAAAAATGTAGGAATTACTATTACTTGTACAGAATATAGTAAACCATGCCTTCTGTTTAGTACAAAAAAAATATCAGATAAAGATTGTCAATTACTTTGCTAATTTTTTGATATAATCCTATATACTTGTAGAACAATATTTGCAAATACTAATGAATTAACTTCGGCTATACTATTTTTGGCTGAAGCTTTAAAAAATGATAATGATGATTTTATATTACTTGAAATAGCAGAATCTCCAATTGAATCTGATAATGAATCTGATGATATTAAAAACAATAATTATGAAAAAAGTTTCAATTTTGAATATGATATTGCCGTATCTAATGAGGATATTCAGAGTGATGATAATGTGAATTACAAAGATGCCAAACCTAAAGATTTTGTTAATAACAATAGTAAAGATGTGGTTAATGATCCTATTCAGGAGCTTTTTACATATATATTTGTAAATGATTCTTGAACTTGTGCTTCTCTTGTTGAAAAACTGTATTATTCTACAAAGATTTATCCTAAGATTTGCTATAGCTGTGGGAGTGCTAATGTTGAAGGTGTGGAAACAAAAAATACATATCTGACATGTAGTAATTGTACTGCAAGTTCAAAAAGATGGTATAAATGGAAACAAGCAGATCAAAGTAATAATAAAAAATCCTGTACTAAAATATAGTAAAACTATAAGTGCATATTTTTGGAGCTAAACTTTAATAAAATGCATTTAAAGATTAATAAGAGAAAATGCACCTATCATTATGAAGATTTTACTGTATTGTAATTTTTTTGAGTTTACTTAATAAAATTGCGTAATAGATATTTTACGAAATTTTTTACATGCTTCAACCTATTTTTAATAATAGGTTAATACCAGTGTTGGCAAATAGAACAATAGAACAAAAACTCAATTTTTTGTCTTTATATAAAAAATATTTTTTTTATTAATAATTTGCAATTATTTGAACATATATTATTAGAACATTAATAAAGTAATAAATTTAAAATATTTTTATATTTAATTAGTCAAATTTAATATTCAAAATTTACAATAGAAAAATAAAAAAAATGAATAGAATTATAAGCCAATAGAAAAAATATATAAACGTGACAACCCTGGTTAATACGTATGAGGAAAAGTCTACGTATAAATATGTACCACGTAGTCATATATATACGTATGTACATAAGGCCAGACCAATTTGATTCTCTGTTTAACATAATCCCCTCTCTATTTTTTAAATTTTCGTATAAAAAAAAATATAATATTAACCAATCAAATCGCAGAATTAATTTTTTGCATTTTTACATTTTTTATAGCCAATAAAATTGCTATATTTTTATTATTTGTGTTTTTTTAATATCCCCCCCACTATCATAAGCTACTTTCATATTATGTTAAACAGAAAATTAAATTGAAGTGGCCTAATTAGCACAGGTACGAATATAAACTCACCAGTAATGTAATACAAATAAATCATATAACAATAAATAAATCAAATATTTAAAATTTTGTACTGTAGATTTGATCAATTCTTATTAGTCAATTTTTTACTATGCCTAAAAATTAAAATTTTTTGATTTGGATTTGGTGACCTGGCTGGTTATGAGAACCAAAAATACAAATTTGTATAGCTTTATATATTTATTATAAAATATATTCTTGAAAACATATTTTATAAAGAATTTAATAATTTTTTGTATATATGATATATTGCTATCTATAGAATCTGTATAATGTAAAATCAAAACAATTTAAAATAATTTAATTTTTTCTTAGTTAAGGTTAGAGCAAAGTAAAGATAGTGTAAAGATAATAAGAGAACTTTACAAGATTTTTAATTTTTAAAAAATATAGTTACAATAGAGTTAATATAAATATAGTTAATATATTATTATTATATTATTAA